TTAAAGTCCGTATTAAACATGTCTTGTGTTACTTTATACTTTTCCTTATCACTGACTAACTTACTTATGTACTGATTGATTTGTGGGGTTTAACGTCCCAAAACCACCATATGATTATGAGAGACGCCGTAGTGGAGGGCTCCGGAAATTTCGACCACCTGGGGTTCTTTAACGTGCACCCAAATCTGAGCACACGGGCCTACGACATTTCCGCCTCCATCGGAAATGCAGCCGCCGCAGCCTGGATTTGAACCCGCGACCTGCGGGTCAGCAGCCGAGTACCTTAGCCACTAAACCACCACGGCGGGGCCTTATTCATGTACTGAACAGATTGATCTTAATCGTGTTGGCTTTTTGTTTTATTTTTTGCCCACTGAAAGCTTTGCACCTCAACGTAATGTGGACCAAATGGTTGACGGGGGAGAGAGAATATATTTTTTTACAGCCGCTCTGTTCTTCCGCCAATTTTGTAGTGGTAGCAAGTAGCCGAAATGTTTAGGAACTTTTGTAACTTCAGCCATCCTGCTAAAGAATGCATTACTTTGTAACCCAAGTAACTTTGGTTGTCTTATTAGTGAGGAAAAAAAAAACTTCAACCGTATCCCTCCCTCTCCTCACGCTCACACATCGTTTTTTGTTAGTTTGTTTTTGTTTCAATTGAAACCAATATGAAAAGCTATGCGTTGCCATTGTGGAGACGTCACAAATTATATACAGCCTCCACTGTCCCTGTTTGTGTTTCTCGGTACGTCGACGTGGCGATTGCGAAGACCATAGTGCGTGGCGTTGTCGCTGATTTGGAAGAGCTACCCGCTACATTGGGACGAGTGCGAACAGTGATTTAGACTGCTCTGAAGAGTGCGAGGTGTTTTGGCGGTGGGGCTGCAGGAAACTCGCACCTATACAAGCAGCGACGAAAACGCGGCTCAAAGCGTCCTCTGAAGAAGTCCAATGCGCGGGCTCCCTTCGCGTGGTGATGGTAGCGCAAGTAGTCGCCAATGCGGCGACTGTACCGTGGACTCCGCGATCGGCACCGACAGCTCGCTGTTGCGCTTCTGGTGCCGATCGCTGAGGAAATGATTTTTTTTTTTTTGGTCGCCATTCGCAAATGGCCGTGCTTAGTGCTAGTCGCCGGTGTGATTGAGTTAGGTGTCTATTATACACACCTTAGGCGACCACGCTGTTGCAAAAGAAAAGCGCGAGAAAAAAAAAGAAAACGCCAATTAGGATTTTAACAACTCATTCGCAAGAATCTTTCCCTGCAGGCCCGTATGCTCGGAGTTGGGTGCACGTTAAAGAACTCCAGGTGGTAGAAATTTCCGAAGGCTGACACTATGGCGCCTCTCTTAATCATATGGTGGTTTTAAGAGGTTAAATCCCACGTATGAATCAATCAAACAATCTTTCCATCTGCTTTAAAGCTGGGATGTCTACCTGTAGAGCTGAACGTTACCGCAGCGTCATCGTGTGATATTTTTGTGTACAGCAAAAGCCGAGACAACCGTCATGGCTGGAGCTGCCACTCTACCATATAATGACTGTAATGGCGGGACACTGTGAGTTTGAGCCTCTAGGTCCAACCTAGCACAGCTAACCAGCATAGGACCCACAAATTAGCTATGCGTGATTTAACAGCACTGCAATGGAGATAATACTCTCAGCTTTAACTACAGAAAATGTACGATTTAACAATTTCATTTGTATTTCGTCCCGCGCCAGTGCTTCGCGTAGGGCATGACGCAAATAGAAGAGTTCACGTACGCAACTAGAGGCCACTATGTGTTCCTCACGCTTTCCGACATGTACCGATGTGCATATTATTAATATTATTATTATTATATTATTATTATTATTATTATATTATTATTATTATTATTATTATATATTATTATTATTATTATATGTAGCTACAAAATTTTAGCGAACTCGTTATTCAATCGAGCTGACCGATGTCGCATCTATTATTTATTATTGTATGACCATAGAGTTTCGACAGTTTGTTATTTTACCATAACATTCTTTTCAAAAATATTCACCAGTTAAGTGCAGCGCCTTCTCTTGATTGATTATGACGCTATGCTTTAGAGGAATCGCTGCTGATTATCGCTAATTAGCAATGATTCCTGTTACCAAGATCGTGCGCTGCCATCGCCTTGACCTCTATATTCGTGGCTTATCGTTTGGTTGTGAGAGAATCTTTCAAGAATAGGAAAATAACGCCCTATTTTTCTCTTTTCTCTCTGGAGTGTGTTTACCAGGACTAAATAAGTGAGAAGTACAGAACAGTACACCACGTTGTCTGCTTTTGTCGTTATACGTCTTAAACGCCAAGCTTTAGCGTTGCATGAGTATAGCGGCTAGCAGCCCGAAGGCGTGAAAGTTTTGTATTCGTTTTACGTCGACCGGAAGCCATGATCTCCGAGAGCGACCACGATGCTCTGCCAGAAGGCTGGCGCCGCCGGGTCTGCCAGCGAACAAAGGGCCGCTCTGCTGGCAGGTGTGACGTGTACCTCTACACTCCATCAGGCCAAAGGCTGAGGTCGCGAAGGGAGGTGGCTGCATTCCTACGCATTTCCTTATCGACCCTGCCTCAGCACTTCAACTTGAAGCCGCCGCGCAGCGTGACGCGGTCGGCAAGCACCGATGTGCCTGGTGAGGACAAGGCGCCGCCGGCAAGTCGTTCCCTGCCCGCTGCTGACAACAAACCCTCTACAAGCAGTGCTTCAGCGCAAAATGAAGGCAGAGTGCTTTTAGCCGGGGACAGCGGAGAGAAGGGCAGTTTTACGGAGGCAGCTGCTGTGAGCACGTCGTCCGAGGACTCGACCATGGCTAGGCCTAATTTGAGAACTGAAGGCAGAGCGTCTGAGGTGCCGTTGAACGACGGTATTGAGGCTGTCGCTAGCCGCAAAAAGGAATCAGCGGCGTTGGAACGCCCCGTAGAGCCTTGGAGCGCTCTGCCCGAAAATGAGACAAAAGACTAGACCGGTGTCCGGAGCTGCATCTTTACCTAAGGGGCGACACGTGTCGCCTGAAAAGCGGACTCGTCTGGACAGAGTCACTGGGAAGCCACTTCTTGCAGAAAATTTCGGAAGGAAGAGGAATGCAGGGACAATCGCACTGCGAGGAGGTAAAAAGAGAGCACCTGAACGTGACTGGGCTAGCCAACTAGCTGACATAAAGCGGAACCCCCTTAAAAACATACTTGGAGTTGGCCGGAAGCTCCGTATCAAATTACGGAAATCGCGACAACAATTGACCCCAGATGAGAAGCGGCAGAAGCAAGCCGAGCCCCAACAGGGAACTTCACGTGAGGCAGCAGAAAATTGCGGTACGCCCGACGTCAAGTAACATCTCCGAAAGGTTACCACAAACAGTGCACCGGTTGAAAACTAGCATGACACGAAGGCACCCAAGCACCCAGAAAATTGTCACACCACGCCGAACCTCAAATTAGGTGTTAAGAAGGCTACGTGAGCCAGTAGACTCATCAAAAAGAAATCCGAAAACGAAAAACAGCCTGGCAGATCGCGTGGCGACGAACGCAGGTACTTGGAGAAAGACAATGATATGCTATTCACGGAATTTAATCTGATCAAACACGCAACACAACCTAAAGGTGGAAAAAACTGAGCCCAGAACTGTGCCATCGCTGTATTTTCTCTTTTGTTTTGCTGTGTGCATTTTGCTTGTTTTTTAACACTAACCAATAACGACTATTTTGTTGTTTGTGTATGTGTAGTGAATTTTACAGTATATTTGATTTGTATAAAGCTTTGGGAAAGCTCGATTTGTTTACTGCTGTTGATTACACGTGCTATACAAGTGTGTCCACTATAGTTCTGTATATCTATTAGTAGTAGTAAGTGGCTGTTCAGCGCATCACTAATGCTAGCATCGTAATTAGCGACGGTTTCTGTTCGGCACATGTGTAATGCTCGACCGAACCTTACACAAAAGAATCTTGCAAACTTTGATGCAGTCGCCGCAGCCGAGATTCGATCCCGCGACCTGCGGGCCCGCAGCCGAGTACCTTAGCCACTAGACCACCACGGCGGGGCGTGCAGAGTCAAGTAAGTGATGGCGTATTCACCGTAGTCGATGCTTGCCATAAATGGGAAAAATACCGACGAAACAAGAGGCGTCCAATATAGTATACGCTTTGTGAATAGTGGAACCACTGCTGGCGTATAGTTACCATGAATGTGCTCGAAAGCAGCGCATCAAATAGCGTGTTAAAAAATATGTACCCCCCCCCCTTTTTTTTGGGGGGGGGGGTGTATAAACCAAAAAATCAGCGGAGTGTGTTTGAAAGGTTGCATGTCTGTATGCGGCGTTCACTTTTAGGGGCGAAGCTCCTTAGGATGTGAATAGTTTCCTCCTCCTCTTCCGTAGTATATAGCCACCTCTAGTTAATGAATTGCCCAACAAATCGCGTTGTGCAATTGTCCTTGTCCAACGCGATCCGTTGCAGTGACGTTGACCACGTGATATGGGTAGGCGGCTGTCTTGGAGAAGTTCACTGCACCCGGTTAGTTGTTAAACAGCTGCAGAGCCGAACACGAAGTGTACCTAGTCAGCGCCTCCTAGAATTTGCAAGGCCCATTCACTCACTTCGTTTCCTTGTCTGAGGTCAGCACACCTAGCCCGACGAACTGGTGGGCATCGTGAGGACCCGGTCTGGGAATGCAGGCTCAGTGACTCCCTTCGTTAGGGCGAGCCTGTTAGAACTTGCATGACCCTGGAAAAGTGAGGTGCTACGCTGCACAAGATTTTGCAATAGTGCTTGGTGGACGTTCTTCGGAGATAGTGTAAGTTTTGGCCCTGGCTGTGTTATTTGGAGTCCAAGCAGTGAAGTTTGTTCGCGTGAAATTTCCAGGAAGTTCACAGGATGGGCCGCTGCTGCGCGCTGAACTGTCGCGAAAATTATGATGGTGGAACAAAGGTCCGCTTGTTCTCCTTCCCTAAAGACGACCGCAGGATAAAATGGAAACGCGCTATTCGTCGCAAGGATGTCGACATCGACACTCTGCGTGATCCGAAGGTAAGAATTTAAAATTTTTACCAATAAACCTTCACATAAAGCGAATTCTGTGTCGAAGATCTGTGCTAGTGCAGTGCATTACGGAGCAGCGTTGCTCTAGATCTCAATCCTTGCTAATTATAACGTTCTAGAATGTGATCAGGCAGAAAACCATATATAAACTGTTGCTAAACATTTTAAAACAATATTTTTGCTTGTGCATATCGCAGGTCTGCGAACTTTAATTCAAAGCAGAGTATTTGAGGACTACCACCACTTACACGGAATAGCAACGGAAAGACTATAGATGTTCCAATGAGCCTTAACTCGACTATAACCGAAGATGCAGTGCCGACGATGTTTCCGAACAGCCCCGTTTACCTATCCGATTGTGCTCCCGTTCACAAGGAGCCTGACGCAAAACGGAAGCACCGTGAGGCAGACCAGCTATGAAAGGGCATTCAGATGTCGCTTGTTTCGCACGAAAAGGAGGAACGCAAGAATAGAGTGACATCTTTCGAGCAGCTCATGTCACAACCTCTCACAACTTAAGTTGTCCGACTATTGGATAGTGAGCAGCACGGAAGCTGCAGTTATGTTTCTGCATATTCAGAGTAACACACTACCTCCATATGTGGAACGTTCTGTGGTCGTTTCCGATGAATTGCACATTTTTGTCTGCTGGATAAAGATGAAGCTGCACATTGCTGATGTTCCCATTCCTGAAAAACTAGAGGACATTCGGAGCTTGCACGCTATTCTTGAAGTGGGGAACATTTCAATGCTCCAGACGTCTGCGAAAAAGAAGAAAATTGAAAGCCTGCTTCCACATTATTTTTTCTCTATTCTTGATGATCTGTCTGATGGTGACCTCCTACCAGAAGAGAAAGTAAAAGCGTTCGAGTTTCTGAAGGAACAGTTCGCGCCTTCTACTTAAAGAGCGAGGAGCCCATGAGATAGTCTTCAGATCTTCTTATATTAGCTAGCATTTTTTATACGATCTCTCTTCACGCATACAAATTCGTTCGCAACACTGGGAACTTAATGTTACCTTATCCTTCCACAATATTAAGGCATTGAAGCAAGTACAATGCAAGTCCTGCAAACGAACAAAGCGATGAAGGCTTTTTGCAGTACATTACAAAAAAGTTGCACTTCTAAAGCCGCACGAAGAGTCGTAACGCTCATGATAGTATGAAATTTACATCCAGCAATATTTTGAGTATAAGAGTGGCTCATTAACAGGGACGGCATCGAATTTCTCTGAAGAGGCAAAACAGCACACGTGTTCATGACATATTTCATTGCTTTCTGCGCACAAAGATGTGGTACACATCCTTCCTGTTTTCAGCATTGAAGCCAGCCATTTGCACGACATCTGAAAAAGCAATTTTGGGTCTTGAACAAGCGGGACTTACAGTAATTGCCGTTATCACTGATAACAACGCTGTGAACCGAAAAGTAATGTCATTTTTTTCAAAAAAAAAAAGTAACACAATAGACATTGTGTACCCACATCCAGCAGACAATTCAAGGCCGCTATTTTTTTGTTGTTGGTACCGTGCATTTATTAAAGTGCATCCGTAACAACTGGTTAAACCAGAAAATGAAGGCTGTTCCATTTTTATCCCGAATTTTCAAGTACGACATCACAGGTGCAAGTGAGAAAGCAACATTTGAGACACTTCGTGAACTGTACGTTTCCGAGCAACACAATCTCTCGAAGCTTGAATACCGACTTACTTATAAGGCTTTGAACCACTCTAACATCGAAAGACAAAACGTGAAGCTAGCACTGAAAGTGATCAGTCCATTTATTGCAGAAGCACTAAAAACCTATGGCGCAAAGCTTGGTTTGAGTTGTGCCCGAGAAACTGCTGAATTTATTGAATTAATACACAAGTGGTGGTGCGTTGTGAACACTAAAACACCATCGAAAGGCAAGCACCTAAGAAATAGTTTTCAAGCACCCGTAAAAAGTATGGAAGACATGCAGCTGCAGTTTCTTATTGCATTTGTAGACTGGCTTGACACTTGGGAAAACTTGAAGATTGGCCCTGGCCGTGCAGGACTGTTAACCGCGTAGACGCACTCGGCGCTACGTCTCACGTCGTACTCCTTGATCGAAGTCAGTCGGTATTGCCTGGAGGAGCTAGGTTTTGAATACGTCTTGCTTGCAAAGTTTCAGAGAGACAGCCTCGAGGAGAGGTTTGGTCGTTACCGTCGGCTGTGTGGATCCAACTACCACATTTCCGCCCAACAAATATTTGAATCAGAAGCAAAACTGAGGCTTCAGAACTCGCTGGTTTTTCCAGATGTGAAAGAACTGTCCCAACCCAGCGGTATTGTGTTTGATGCAGCCAAGATGATAGAAGAATATGGCATCAAGTTGACTGAAGAGGACGTGAAATCAAAAAAGAAAAGCTCGCCTGCAATAGTGTATATTGCAGGTTACTGCGCCCACGCCGCTCTCAGGAAAATTCCCCGTGAAGATTGTGCGGCCAACATCACAAGACAAGATAGGGATATACCAATGGTTGATGATATGCTGATCGAAGGCCTCACAAGAGGGGCCCTAAAATTTCTCCAACCAGTAGTAATAAGTGCACACACAAATCGTGCTAGAAAAGCTGACCTCGAAAGAGAACACCGCCCGGTTTCATGCAGCACGGCACCAAAGGCAGCTTCTTCTCAGTGTGGTGAAGCACATTTTAATTGACAATGAAGATTTGGACATTTGTCGCAAAGGACACTATCCAGAAACAGTGCTTCACAACATCTTGTGGGCAGCCACCAACACCTTACTGAAAAACTACGTCCAAATGAAAACCGACAAGTTAACGGCGGCAAAGAAGGGCGCAACACTGAAGAGGAAACTGAAAATGCTCAATTAAGCTACCTTCAACGTCTTGAAGATTCACGTTAGAATAAATAAATGATGTAGTCTCCATGAAATATATT